GCCGATGAGTTCTGGATCTGCTGTGACCTCTGTGAAAACTGGTTCCATGGGAAGTGTGTGAAGATAACACCAGCAAGGGCTGAGCACATCAAACAGTACAAGTGCCCATCTTGCAGCAACAAGAGAGCTCGATCCTAAGTTTCATTGTTTATTGCCGCCGCCTTTGTCTATTTGCTTTGCATATGATGAACAAGCCTAATTGTTTGGTTAGATCAGATTTGTTGGTTAAGTTAAGACTTCATGTGATTTGGTTATCTTAGGCGCTAGTTAGCCTCATGTTCAAGGTTTAATCCTTGGCTCTGTTTTATGTTTGTTTATTAGAGAGTAAAACATTTTTAAGAACCCAATCAAAAGTGTCTTTGTTAGATTTGCCATTACGTTTCTTCATTTCAACACAAGAAACAGAGAAACTTAGACTATGTCTGCTTCTTTGTGGACAGACGCTTTAAGTACTCGTAGGTTGTGATCATAGTTGTTGCAGACATGGACATTGAGACCCACCTTGGTCCTAACCCTCTGTAACAAGCCCCAAACCCTCCTTCCCTCATCAAGCTCTTCACTGTCTGCATCACTGTCATTGCTCGTCTCCTCCCATTCTCTTCCGCATCTAAAACCTGCAACCTCGTCTTGATTGTGTCTACAGGCATAGTTATCAAAGCTGAGCAACCACTTGCTGCAGCTGCACTCAGCGCTTGAACCACCATTGAGCCACGAGCATCTTCCTTACGCTCGTATGGACTTTTGTACCGAGACCAAATCGCTTTCTGAGCCAAAGAATAAGACGCCCACCATACAGCGTTTGAAGGTGCATAAGTCAAGATGGAGAGACCAAACCCTCTGTAGAACCCTCTTGGTCCATCACTGTAAAGAATCTTTCTAAAAGCATCAAACCCATTAGTGTATCTGCAAGAACTGATCACTCCAGGGACATGCTTATTGATTGACATATCTCCTTGAACCATAAGCCGTTGGCTCACGACATCAATAGGAGTCCAGACAACCTGAGCAGCCACAGCCGAGGTCAAACCAGCTGCACCATTGGAAACAGCCATAGAGGTTGTATCAGACAAACCTAACCTAACAGTTGCTTGACCTACACTACTCTTGGTGATCTCTAGAGCCGTCATGTAGAGAGCACGAGCCGGGATGGTTCCAAGCAAAGAAGTACCAAAGCCCTTGTAGAACCCTTTTAGACCCTCGAGTCTAGCGATGGCCAGAGAGATGTTGGCACAGGAGACACGCGTCGGTGAGACTTGTTGCCTTGTCTTGAGGACTACGATAGGGTAAAGAGCTGTGGATACGCCGGAGAAGAGAGCAGCACCGAGGAAGAAAAACCTTGACTTATCAAGCATTTGCCAGTCTACATCTTTGGACATATACGCCTGAGAGGAAGAAGTTGATCTTGCTCTCTTCTTCTCTTCTCTCATCAAGGCACCTAAACTCATTTTCAACTTATCTTTGTTTTACTTAAAACTAGTCACTGTGAGCTATGAAAGAGATGTATTCTTGTGAATGACCCTTGAAATATGGCAACTCTACTGATTCACTAGTGTTTGTGAAATATCTTGTGGAGAAGAGAGAGGAGTAGATATAAACCAGTAGAATGAGGATCTCTGTGGATTTATTAGCTTATAAAACTGTGAACTCGATAGAGAATATATTTATAATAAATATATAGGAGCCAAACGATGGGTCGTATTGGATTAACACAAGTGGAGTGGCCTTTAACGGACTCAAAAGGGTGTGCTAGACAGAGAGAGAGAGAGAGACTGACATGAGAATGAGCACAATGGACATGTGGCAAACTTTTATTGGTTTATGTTCGAGAAACTCGCCGCTTTTGAGGTTACATTGGTTTCTGTCGGATCGTCCACATGTTTCACCATTCTATGGGTGTCAACATTTTTTATTCGTCCTTATTTGCATCTTTTTTATTTCTTCTTTCTTGCCGTTTCGTGTGGGTTTCTCATTAAACGTTATCCATAACCGTTACTGCGACAATTTGCTGTATCTTTTTATATAAAAATGTGATTAGTCCAATAGAATCCTTTTTTGCCCTCGACCGGTTCCGTCCTGAGTAAATGTTCAGCTGCAAGCCAAAGGCAAAGGCACTGTGATCAACTTGTTAGAAAACCTCAAGTCAACTCTCTGTTTCAAATAAAACATAACTCATGGTTTCATCGAGATTCACAATAAGATAATGTATAGCACTATAAAATCTATTATCTATTATATAAAAGAAAGTATCCTTCTTTCTAAGGGGTGCTACTAGGGGTGGACGTTCGGGTACCCGTTCGGGTTCGGATCGGCTATTTCGGGTTTTCGGGTATTTCGGTATTGGGGTTTAGGATCCGTTCGGGTATTTTTACATATCGGGTCGGGTTCGGATATTTTTAGTTCGGGTTCGGTTATTTCGGGTCGGGTTCGGATATTTAGATTTTGAAACAAAAAAATTCAAATTCTTCATTACTTAAGTTTCATGTATTTAAAAATTTAACTATCAACTTAACCTTTTTTAAATGTTTAATAAGTTGGACGATTAATAAGTTTGAAAATAAATTATTGAAAATAAAAATCATTATTTTGGTTGTTATTTTCGAATTTTGGATGCAAATTTTGTTAAAATATGAAATAAGAAGCTTAATATGCATTTTAAATGAGTAACAAATCAATTTTTTTTACAATTATATGTATATTATCTAATCTTAAACTATATATAACATTAATATAGATATTTTTAATAAAATGAGACAAATAAACTAGGAATAAATAGGTATATATATATATGTTCGGTTATCTTCGGATACCCGTTCGGGTTCGGGTATTACCCGTTCGGGTTCGGATATCCAAACTCTCCTAACTCAATACCCGTTCGGATATTTTGCTACTTCGGTTCGGATTTCGGTTCGGATATTTCGGGTCGGGTTCGGGTACGAGTTCGGGTATCGGATAAAGTGTCCACCCCTAGGTGCTACCTCAGCGCCAGCGTGGAAAGGCCAGGTCAGCATTCTGTTTTGGGTCAAAATCGTCTGGACTTTACCTTATTATTCTGTCTATTTTTTGTATTATTATAGCCCAAGTTTTTGGTTTCTGTATCGATAGAGACTCAGGTTAGTGACGCTTGGTGTCTTCTTCCCTAGAATTCTGAAACCGCCAGCGTTAATGGATCGATTCACTGGGTGAACATCAATGTTCTTTTGCTGATAAATGCAAGTAAGTTCTTCTTCGTCTTCCTAGCTTTGCTCTTCCACCTCTTCTGGTATGTCTCGCCTGCTCTCCAAGAAAAGGGATCCCGCTGATATTGAGGCAAAAGTTTCGCCTTTCTCTTTTTGAGATACCAAGAAAAAGGTCACCGTTCTAGAGAATTATTATGTGACAGCATCTTCCTAGCTTATATCCATTTCCACTTTTTATAATTGGTTTAATAATTGTAACCCGGTTTGCACACCGGTTAAGTGGTCACATGTTTAGACCAACAACGTCATTCCTCTTTATGTACAACTTTGGCATTTTGATAGAAAGGTATCAAATCAGTACAATTCTTATCTTCTCTCTTTCTCTCTCATTCCCATTTGATCATTCATCTGAATCCTATACTTCTAGGTGACGTTTCTTCGTCTGATTCACCTTCTAGTCCTTGATTCTCCTTTCTTTAAGCTCTTGGTGAGTTTATAGTTTGGATTTATCTTCTCTTAACATTTTCTCTGTCTCATTGGTATCAGAGCTAACCGACCTCCAGGACTCCGATCATGGTTGAGACTAGACAACAAGAGAAGACGATGCTCGAGCAAGTCGAGGAGCTGCGTCACCTCCAGGAACGCGCCTCCGATGAGCTCCGCCAACGAACAGACTCGCTCGACGCACGATTTGCCAAACTCGAGACCGCGATGTTCGCTTACTTTAACCAAGCTCCTCCGGCCAATGGGAAACAGCCGATCCATGAAGCTAGTGGATCTCACTCCATGGGTCTGTTATCTCCCCTCACGAATCGACCTCCAGATCCCCCAGATCTGAGCGGATTTTCCCTCCACAGAGATCACTCTCCTCCGATCAACAACGGTTTTGCAGGACGCCTAACGAAGCTGGGTTTTCCAACGTTCGACGGTACCGATCTGCGAGACTGGATCTGCCAGTGTGAACAGTTCTTCGATCTAGACGGGACTGTACCTGAGATGAAGGTCCGTTTAGCTGCGATGCATCTCCGGGGAAAGGCGCTCCACTGGCACCGCAACTTCATGGCGGAACGCTTTGGTTTATTTCCGTCTTGGACCGACTATGTGGTTGCAATCTCTGGCCGATTTAGCGCTCTCTTTGATGATCCTCTTGCAGATCTGGTAGCGCTGCGTCAGGGATCAGACTCTATCATTGTATACCTTGATAAGTTTGAAACTACTCGCACAAGGTTGGCCTTACCCGAAGATCACGCTCTCAGCATATTCCTCACCAACATGAACCCACACCTATCCCTCCACGTCCGCCAATTCACAGTCGTTACGGTCTCCGCTGCGGCCAAGATAGCTAGCCTTCATGAATCCTCCTTAGCCCAAACCCCCCCAACGATCCCATCGAGCTCCCTTCAGTCCTTCAGGAACCCAAACCCACCATAAATCCAATACCACCAACACCACCACCCCGATCCTTCCCACCCCACAAACCAAACCAACCTTCATACCCCGTAACCCCACCGACAAGAACCCCCTGAAGTTTACATACCAAGAGATGCAAGAGAGGCGCGCTAAGGGGCTTTGTATATTCTATGATGAACCCTTCACACCAGGACATCAGATGAAGCACAAGCGTTCCCAAATATTTGTTATGGAAGGTGATGAGGCGAGTGACGATGATGATAGTACTGATGAGGATGTGAATGTGGAGTCCCTCACGAATGAAACACCAGTGGAGACTACTGTGGAGCCAACACCAACGATCTCGGTCAACGCCCTCAGTTGTTCTGCTACGTTCAGTTGTATGCGTGTCATAGGTTCATATGGAAAAAGGAATATCTTCATCCTTATTGATCCAGGGAGTACTCATAACTTCCTCGACATCAAGGTAGCTAAAAAGTTGGGATGTCGACTAGAATCCTTTAGTCCTATGTCTATGACAGCCGCTAATGGCACATTAACAACCAAGTATAAGTGTCGGGAATTCACTTGGAAGGTTCAAGGTTACACATACACTTCTGAGATCCGCACTTTACCTCTGGATTGTTGTGAACTTGTGCTAGGTGTTCAGTGGTTACGTACGCTTGGTCCTATACTTTGGAA